CCTAAATTACTAAAATATCGATATTTTAATGTGAGAATCAATTCTAGAACATAAATGATTGGTATCGGAGGAATTGATATTTCAGCATCGATCCGCACATCACTGCTCTAAACTGAAAAACAACTTCTCTCTTTTCTCTCTCTTTAGCTCTGTTCTAATCGCTTCCTGTCTTTTAGTCAAAGGAGCTTGCAAAGAAAAGCATCTGGACTTCTTTAAGTTGCTTGAAAGTGTTTCTTTTTTCTTCATAGATGTGCACATCATATACTTTGGATCAGAACCAAAATTACTTAAGATGAAATATAAATGGGGCTGCTGTTGAATTGCATTAAAATACATGAAATTGAGGTAGATCTGAGTGATGGGCAGGATAGTGTTAGTTTGTTACAGATGTAAAAATAGTCAATTGACAGTGTGAGTAATAATAACAATAAAAAATAAATTCTGCTAAGTAATGAAAATGCTAGTTGTACTTCCTTTTTCACATATTCACACACAGAGCAAGAACAGTCTTTCTGTTGGTTCTTTAAGTATGTTGGTTTCGCTTCCTTTTTTAATGTGATGAGCTTTTTAAAACAGACAGATCAGTAGCAGGACCCATTTCTGACTGTTAACTGCTGGACATATTTGCATGTCATTTTTTAACATACTCTGTGTCAACACACACTGAACAGTGAGGAGACATGAAAGCTGTGCTGGGATTGATGGTGATTCTTCTGGGACTGTCTCATGGTGAGCTGTTCTTCTTAAATGTGGCACTTATCGCTTAATATGTTTTTTAACCTGTACAAAATATCTGACATCATACTCAGGGATGTTAAAGCAGGACAAATACTTACACAAAGTTCCAATATGTGTACTTTGATTAAGCACGGTAACGCCATCATCGCGACTAACACGATTAACATTTAACTCACCTGGAGCTCAGACTGACTCAAAATCCCTGGAATGTCTCTGTCAACGCATTTCAAGCAGTTTGTACGAAGGCTGTTCTTTCTACGCTCCAGACGGGATGAGAGCGAGAAGAATTTTAATCGCGTTAATCGTGATGATTGGTTAGGATCAATTAGGTATAAACATGGTAATACTAAAATACTTTTTAACAAGTAAAAGTCCTCATAATTTAATTTTTGTTGTGATTTATTTGCCAGAAACTAACGAATCACAAATGTTTGTCTTTTTAATGTTTCAAAATTGGCAGGTGTGGAAACTTACTGTCTTGACAGACTGGATGGAGTTCAGTGTTATAGAGCTTTGGGAGGAACTGTGGACATTCATCTGATGGGGAGCACCTCAGAAATATATAGATACTACTTGTTGAAGAACTCAATAAAAATACTAGATGTGAGAAAGAATGAGGTTGTTTCTAATACCATAGGAGAGAGAGCTTATTTTCCCAGTAATGGAACATTTAGGATCAATAATCTGAGCAGGACAGACAGTGGTATATATACCCTTCGAACCTTTGATTCAGATGGAACATCATCAGGCGTGCAGACTTTACAGCTGTTCATTCAAGGTAAATGTTGGGAAATGCAGCCTTTAATTGATGTAAAGTGATATTATTGCAGAGCGGACGAATTTAGGAACTATGGAAAATCAGCCATTAAGTTACAGACCATGTAAAGTTACACAGAAGGAAGCATAGTGCATGAAAGTGCATCTCATTATATTATCAAAAGTCATCTGTGCGTGTTTCTCTCAGCTCCTGTGTCCTCTGTCCTGCTGGTCTCTGCGTGTCTGTCCCAGGGAGAGATGAGGGTGTCTTGCTCCTCTGAGGGAGGGGACAGTCCTCAGTACAGCTGGACTCTGGATGGACGCACACTGACAGATGCTGAGCTCCTTTCTGGAAACAATGAGAGTAAAAACATTATTCTGAAACAGCACGTCTCAGGACGTCTGACCTGCTCAGTCAGGAACAACGTCAGTTATGTCTACAAAGAGGAGAGGATATCTACCTGTGGTGAGTGAGAACATTCTTGATTTAAAAATAATAATCATGACTTTGTTCATTACGGTCACTCTGTACATTCATTCATGAAGTATTTGTTTTTACGCATAGGCTTCATTTTTATCAACTGCACCTCAATCTTTAGGACACAGGTGTCAGTATGAAACCAACAGGACTTTGTTTATTAAACCAACAAGTGAATCTATTTTTTAACCCTTACAAAATATCTGACATCAGCATCAGAGAATTTAAAAGCTAATATATGTGTACTTTGATTTCTTTTAATAAATTAATGTAAGAATCTATTGGCTTCAATTGCAGTACGTGGCAATTTGAGAAGAGCTTCAGTTCCTTTTTTGTCTTTTTATCAGTTTAAGTAACAGTGGTAAAATCTTAGATCACTATGCACCTTGGCAGTCTTGTTGCAGTGTGTTTAAGTGAGTTCTGACATTTTAGAGGACTTTATTCTTCCCTCCTTATCAGAGACATCAAGCTTATTTTTCACTTTGATGGACTGCCTAATTTTCAAGAAACTGTCTCAACTTTTTGCTTGGCTGTAACTATGAATCCACATCTTAAGTTATTTAACTCATGCGGTGACTACAGATATGCTGAACAATGTTTCGGTTGCATTCCTCTTTCAATTTTAATGCTACCTTCAGAAATAAACATCTCCATCCTGCTTGTTTGAGAATTCTTTTTTCTGAAATATATCTTCCTTTTTCTGTTTGATGAACACCCATTTCTTTTTTTTCATGAAAAGAATGTAGTGTTTGCATTCGTCTAAAATGTGGAGAATGTATCTACCTGTGTTTCTTAATTATTAATATATTAATAAATGTTGGACACATTCGTGTGATAACTTTGAAATTATGGATGCAGCATTTTGTTCTTCAGCCTCTATTACCTACAATTTGCAAAACTGCTACCTACTCTGAGTAAAATAGTAAGAGCTGACAGATTTATGGTAGTGGTGCTACTATAACTTATGTGATACCAATCAATCAAAGCACTGGGTTATCCAAAACATAATTAGGTTTAAACATGGTAATACTAAAAATATTTTTAACAAGTAGAAGTCCTCACATCAGTAAATTTTGGATTGCTGACAATGTTAATGTAATTTTTATTGTAATTTGTTTGATAGAAAATAATGAATCACAAATGTTTTTCTTTTTAATGTTTCAAATTTTGCAGGTGTGGAAACTTACTGTGATGGCAGACAGAATGGAGCTCAGTGTTATGGAGCTTTGGGAGGAACTGTGGACATCCAGCTGATTGACACCACTGCAGAAATACCTAGATACGGCCTGTTTAAGAATTCATTAAGAATACTAGATGTCAGAAAGAACAGGTTTCTTCATAATACTATAGCACATAGATCTCTATTTTTTCCCAGTAATGGAAAATTTAGGATCAATAACCTGAGCAGGAATGATAGTGGTAATTACTCCCTTCAACCCTTTGATTCAAATGGAAGATCATTAGGCCAGAGGACTTTACAGTTGTTCATTCAAGGTAAATGTTGGGAAATGCAGCCTTTAATTCATGTATATGCAATATTGTTTTGGTAATCTTTATAATATAGAGCACATAATTTAAGATACATATATTTTGTGCATGAAATAAATATAATCTACATGATGTGCACTTCATACACCAAAGTATTGGGCCACATCTCTTAATCTTAAAATTCAGATGTTTTCACTTCCATTGCCACAGATGTGTGAAACCCATGCAGTCTGCCTCTACAAACATTTGCGAACATGTGTACTCAAGTGTACTAAAGATTACACTGAAGTTGTGTATGTTAGTGTAACATGGATGCTACCTTTGCAGCAAGTTATTTTGAGATATTTCTTCCCTCCCACATATTCCATAATCAACTGTAAGAGAGCGGAAGATTTCAGGAACTACAGAAACTCAGTACTAAGTGGCAGACAATGTGAAGTCACACAGTAGGGGCATCAAGTGCTGAGGTGCATAGTGCATGAAAGTGTATCATTTGATGTATCAAAAGTTATATTTGTGTGTTTCTCTCAGCTCCTGTGACCTCTGTCCTGATCGTCTCTGAGTGTCTATTCCTCGGACAGATGAGGGTGTCCTGCTCCTCTGAGGGAGGGGACAGTCCTCAGTACAGCTGGACTCTGGATGGACGCACACTGACAGATGCTGAGCTCTCTTCTGGAAATAATAAGAGTAACAACATCACTCTGAAACAACACGTCTCAGGACATCTGGTCTGCTCAGTCAGGAACAGTGTCAGTGAAGTCTACAAAGAACAGAGCAAATGTACTTGTGGTGAGTGAGAAAAACTTAATGATTATATTATGTGTAATTTATTGTGTTGCACCTGCAGCCATAAACAGACTGTCTTAAACTAGCAACAGACTGTGTGTCTGCAAATCTTCAAGATCCCAAATAATAAAACATACTGGCAACCACCAGAACCCCTCATCCTCCCAGTAGCCGCACCTATGTTATCTGTTTCACCGTTCTCATATAATCGCATTAATTTGTGCAGCCCACCTTGCAGGATGAGGACAATACCTCTTTCACAACTGATGTGGTAGAAAAGGATTTAACTAATGTGAACAATGGTAGTGGCTGATTAGTGTAATAGTTTGCACATTTTTCTAATGACCAAAAAGACCTTTGGCTCCTGAGAGGAAACAAAACTCCTTTAGGGTTGTTTTAGGAAGGGCATCTGGAATGATAAAAAATCTTACAAATCAAATACATACCACTACCTGGTGTGGTGAGTCTTTGTAAATAAGGAGTCAGCAAAAAGTTGATTTAACCTGATATGAACCACAGTACATAACAGATAACACTCTTGTCACATCTTTAACTTTGCTTGTGTTTTTTGTGTCTCTGTACAGATATTTCCTTGCCTATATGTGGTTTGAGAGCAGTTGTGGTAATTGTCTTACTAATTGGGATTTCCATCTACTTTACTTGGAAGAAAAAGAAAAATGAAAAAGCTGAAGCCTCTGCTGCCCTACAAGCAGAATTCCCAGAAAACTCTGTTTTGATGGTTGAAATGAGAGGTTCAGCAACTTAGGCCAACACCAAGTTTCAGCTTTCATCTGGTGAAGCTCTGTGTGTTTTTAACATTTGGATTCTGTGGAAACTAATAGAAAAAAAAGATGTAAGAAAAGTAGTCCGGGTCTTTTAAATTTTCACTTTTTTCTAGGTAAATGTGAAATTAGATCACGCTCTAAACAAAAATTATCAACACACTTGTAACTGCATTTTATGCTAAATTTTATTTCAGCACTCTTAAACTGTTTGTTTTTAATCATGCTTTCTGTCTTTTATTTGGGCATTTGTTGAAGACATGTATTCAGCGTCTTTGAGATTGGAATATCTTTTTCCCAGTGACAAAAAATACATATGTAAATATTGTCCACTTCCTGAAGTGAAAATCCTTTATCAAAATATGATGTTATAAAATAAGTTTACATCTCAACAAAAAAATCTCTGCAACTCTCCGTGTGGTCAACAACAGACACACATTATGCCCCTATCGTGGACTAAACCAATGAGAGATAGTCAGGGGCGGGACCTCTCTGATTGGCCGTGGTCCTGTTGAAAGTGCAGGTGGATAGAGAGAGGTGAGTAGCTTGAATAAAGCGATATCCTGAATCGACTTTTAAATATAAATGTATGTTGCCAGAAACGCCAGATTCTCAGATTAGAGCAGGTAAACTGATTCCGCACAAAGACATAATACAGAGCGCGGACCCAACGCATCAGAATCAACTTTCTCTTTCTCCCACCAGTCTACCATTGTTTACAGCTCTGTCGGACACTGTCTTTTTCCTTTTTTCTTTTCTTTTACTTAAATGACCTCAGACAAGAAAGCCTAATTTCTGCTGTTCAATACAGAAGAAATTTTAACTTTTGAAAATTATGCAAAATTGCAGAATATTTTTAAGGTTATCTGCTATAAAAAGCCAGGCCAGGAAAATCTCCTTCATGTTTTTCTGTGTTTTATTCTACGTTACTTTGACACAAAGGCATCTGCTGTGATCTTTACAATTCTGATGAAGTCTCACATGTATCAGTACTGATAAATGATCAGAATTTTAATATTTCTGACTGTCTGAGGCAAAACTGAATGGAATCAGGAACTTTAACCTCTTAAGCCCCAACGCCCGCTGATACGGGGGCAAAAGGCAGGAGATCAGTTAGGCTTGCGGCTTAAGAGGTTAAGAACCGAAATCGAATGGATTATAGAAATCAGTGATGATACCCAGCCCTAGTGAGTAGCCTAGGCCCGACAGAAGAGGATGTAGCTGTGGGTAATAAGAAAAGATAAAAAAAAAGAACTATTGATAACTTTTTTGTTAAGTTAAGGCCTGATCAGTCTGAAATTCATAGCCAGTGCTCTGACACGATGCCATCAATCTTTGAATGCTGAAAAAGCACAGTGTATCCAGAAAACACATTATATGCTGCAATAAATGCACTGCCCAAGTGTCCCCTCTCCCCACTGCATTTCAGCAGCAGGCAACAGCAAACAGGTCGTCAGAGGAGGCCGAGATGACAATTAAGTTTAACATTTTCTACAATATTGCCAAAGAGTGCAAGATTATTAGTTAATCATTTACAAATCAATATTGTCACTATCCTCTCACATGTAAAACGGTGTTAAGCGATGTGGTTGAAAAATTTGAGTGTGCCTAACTTTTGTGCCGGTGCGCCTAACTTTTTAAAGTTAGCCAGTGCAACCGTGGCAAAAGGTTAGTCTAGAGCCCTGCATTAGGTAATTTACATACATGATCCTGTCACGATCCTGGGCCTTTTGACCCAGCGTCTTGAGTTTTAGTTTATGGTTTATGTTTAAGCCCTTCAGGTTTTCTAAGTTCATTTTTTTTATCATGCCTAGGTTGTTATAGTTGTTTGTTATTAGATTCCCCTTGTGTCTTCCACCCCTGTTAAGTCTCCCTTGCCCTTCATGTGTTTCATGTCTGTGTCTTACGTTGTCAAGTTCAGGTTGTCATGTCTGCGACTTATGTTTCCTGTTTTATTTTGAAGAGATCTTGTGTTCCTGTGTTCATCGTGTTTAGTTTTACTCTTCCACTGTGACGTCGTTATGGTCATGTGTGTCAGCTGTTCCCCATGTGTTCCCACTTCTCTCATTAGCCTCCTGTGTGTATTTAGTCTGTGCCTTCTCATTCAGTCTTTGTTGGATCGGCTGCATTGTTTCCATGCCATGTCCTGCGTTCAGGTTTTCATATAGCCTCTTCTTCATTGCCATGTTTAGAGTTTTGTTTGTTTTTCTGTTTGCCAGGGTTTTTCATAGTTCGTGTTTCCTTTCTAGTTTACCCAGTTTAGGTTATTGCTTAGTTTGCCCTTTTATTTTGTACTGTTCTGTCAATGTGTGTTGTGCATGCTGTTTGCATTTAATTTGAGTAGAGGAGTTTGGATGAAATCTGCCTGCTGCTTTGACTGGGGAGAGGCTAAATAGTGAAGGAACATTTGCAGAGTGTTGGGGGATGGCTGTAATCGCAGAGCTGTAAGACAATGAAAGACAGTCTTAGGCTACATTCACACTGCAGGTCTTAATGCTCAATTCAGATTTTTTGATCAAATCTGATTTTTTGTCTGCTTGTTCACACTACAAATAAAATGTGACAGCAAATGCGCTCTATGAACCCTCAAAGCGGCCCGCATGTGCAAAAGAAGACGTCACACACAACGTGCTCTGTGTAGACCCAGACCAAACAGTGTTTGACTGATGGCCCTTAATATAAAGACTTGTTTCAGACTTTACGTTTCCCAGAGTTATTTTGTTATCTACACATGGCCTAATAATGATCCTTATTGCTGTTTTAGAAAGAGCGGTACTTCAAAGGATAGTTGCAGATTTCTGTCAGAATCTGCAGATTATACAGTACAAATAAAATGTTCACGTTTCTCCAACATTGTCTTCCCAACAGTTGTACTGGATGGCCAGGAGGCATTCATGATGTCTTCTCGGGCGCTGATAATTGGCGTCTGTCTTGTGTCAGTGACGTAAAAGACGGATTTAATGCAACATGACCATTCAAACAGCAGTCGCTTTCTAAAACATCAGATATGTGTTGGATTCAGTGGATTTGGATTTGAAAATATCAGATTTGTGGTGTTCACACTGTCAAACCATGATTGGATATGGCTCGCATAGGGTCAAAAAGTCGGATTTGATGCGCTTTCGCCTGCAGTGTGAACGTAGCCTTAGGTCACTTTCCCCTCAGTTGTTCCTAAATGGCCTCTTTGACTCCCCCCCCGAAACCAGCATTTCTAAGAGTACATCTTTCATCATCTTACAATGCTGTGATGATTGCAACAATTCCTGACTTTCTGTGAATAGATCTCATGGCTGTTGATCAGTGCTCACGACAATCTGCATGTTAATGATCATGAAACTGAGCTTGTGGCTTTAGGCAATGCTGCTAGTTTCTGTCATCATGTAACCGTACTATTTATAAGACTGGGAAAACCTTCTGTCAGTTGAAAATGAAGAAGTCACTTGGATGAGTGATTAGATGTTTCTCTCATTGAAAATAAGATTGGTAACAACAACCAGTCAAATCAACAATCATCCTAAACACCAAAGTCCTTTTTGTATGTTCAAAGATGTTCAAATGTGTCTGCTGTATGTGATGTATTAGATACTGAAACAATATAAAACTGCACTAAATTGGTCTACTGCCTTCATGGGAAGGATAGCGTTATTTTGTCACAGATGTAAAAAAATTATCAAGTGACACTGTAATTAATAATAAAATGGTCTGTGGAAGGTCTATAAGGTTCCTCTTATTTCTGCTAAGTAATGAATATGTTAGTTTTGCTTCCTTTTTTAATGTGATGAGTTTAGGGTACAAGTGGGTCTATAGTGTGCACTATAGTCTACAGCACACAGGAGTATTAGGTTATTATTTACATGTTGGTAAGCTGTCTTGTGGCAACTGACGAATTGAAAACAAATGAGTGTGCTGTGTATGAAACAGCGCAACAAACATTACCTGTCCTTCTATTAAGTGCAGAAGTAGTGCTGGTCATTGGATGCTAGCTAACTGGGTAAGGCTCTCATAGGTCTGTAGCTCTGTCTACCATTTTAGGGAACGGCTTTAAAGTAAGTTA